CCAAACGTGACCTTCCCTCATGGTCACCCCGCTACGCGCACGCCCTCGCATGCCTTCGCCGGCGTGCAGTACCCACCATACAACTACTCGCCGCCCCCCGCCTACGCGACCACACCGACACCCCATCTCTATCGTGGGCCGCTGCCCTTCTCGCACCTCGGCGACACCGACGACACGGGAGCCGACATGGACGACATCATCGCGACAGGATCGGCCGCGACCGCCTCGTCTCCCGGGTTCGCCACCCAGGACGAGGTAGTCGACCTCAGCGGCGACATGGAGGCCGAGCTCGGCTACGTCTACGGCGACGACGCGCAGGAACCCGAGGAGGAGGAGGAGGAGGAGCCGGCTCCTGTTCCGACGAAGGGGCGCCAGAAAAAGAAGCGGGCGGCTAGGTCGGGCGAGCTGCGCATCAAGTGGACGTCCAAGGAGGAGGAATGCCTCGCCGAAGCGTGGAAAGTCGTCTGCCTCGACCCGACCACCGGCGCGAACCAGAACTTGGAGACGTACTGGGACCGCATCAAGGCCAAGTTCGACGAGCGGAAGCTCGTCGACCCCTACTTCAAAGGCGTCTACATGCAGCGCGGGTCCAAGGCGATGGCGAACCATTGGGGGCGTATCCAGTTGGCGTGCAACAAATGGCATGGAATCGTCGAGGAGGTCGCGGCTCGCCCGGAGAGCGGCGCCAGTGTTGAGGATCAGGTACGCACGCCGTTCGCCCGCACATCTTCGTCCCCTGCACCCGCCGTTCGCCAACTGTTCGTCCATCCGCGCAGCTGCTGCGCATGTTCGCCATGTTCCGGGGTGACAACCAAGACGCCGACTTCAAGCACCTCCACGTCTACAAGCGCATTGACAAGTGCGAGAAGTGGGCGGAAGTCCGGCGTGCCCTCGACAAGGCCAAGGAGACGTACAAGCCGGACGCGCCGACTCCGGGCGCGTCGGATGGGCGGCCGGACGGCCACAAATTGGCCAAGAAGGGGAAAAATGCCGACGCGGCAACCGCGCGAGTGCAGGAGTCCATCGAGCATTGCCTCGCCGACGCCCAGGCCCGGGCCGTCCTACGCGAAGAGAAGACCGAGGCGCGGTGGTCGGCGCTAATGAAGAACAACGCCATCAAACTCGACCTGCTCCGGACGAACGTCGCCGCGAAGAAGAGGAACGCCGACATGGCTTTCCTGATGGGTGGGGCGGACATGCTCCAGAGCAACGACGAGAAGCTCAAGGCGTGGTACCTGGTGCAGCGCGGCCTCATCCTGATCGAGCTGCCGACGGCAACGCCCACGACGCCGACGACGCCAACGGCCGCACGGACGCCAAGCCCGAGTGAAGCCTCTACGTCGCCGCCCAGCAGTGTCGAAGCCGCGCCGACGCAGCCCAACAGCGAAGCAGCTCCGACACCGCCGAGCTCGCGCACGCCGACTCCGCCAACACCTGGGACCAACCCCGCCGAGTGAATGACCCCGCCGAGGCGGCGTCGCTCTGTTTTTTGTAACGCCAGACTATACCCGATCGCCGGACTTGCGGCGTCTTGAGAACGGGAACGACCAAGTTTGAATTTACGCGTCCTGGGGCCGGCGCGTGGGTGCGTGACTGGGAGCTAGCTCGCCCCCATGGGCCGAGCTAGCGCCGGCACGCCCCCAGGATGCCGAATTTAGTCGCCCTGGGGGGCCGAACGGCTGGAGATGCCCTAAGAGGTGAGCCCATTTCATGCCTCATCTTCAGCTATCAAATTTTTTATGCTTCTTTTTTTCATACTAAATAGAAACACTATTTCTGGTTGTGAACGGTTGTACTGATAATGATCAATTTAAATGGGTCCCACCATTTCGTTTGTTTCAACAACTAAGGCAGAGGACAGATGATTATATTGGGTTAAAATGATCCGTTCGTTCCAGCAAAACAGGCAGGTATTTCAGATGAAACATTAGACAGAACAAGGAGCATGCATGAAAAGGCACGAGGCAACAAACCAATTGCATCAAGATCCAATATTTTTCTCACTTCCGCTTCGGTATAACCCCCCTAAACACATCAACGGATGTGATTATTCTATACCCCTTCATAATAAAGGGCATGATGGTATTTTTGAAAGTACGCTAGGATGCACATCTGGGCCAGCCCACCAGGCGCTAGGCCACTTGCTATTTAAAGCAAGACATAAAAATCCTGAAAAAAGAGCTAGGTCACACGAGGAATCGAGCTCCTGACCATGTATCCCAAACTTCACAACTTACCAATCCACTACTCTGCCCTTTGGTGGTAAAAGTAGCTCAAGATTTATAAGAACATACTATGCCGGTGCGCAAAACCAGCCCATCGATTTGAAAAAAGTTCATGAATTTTACAAAAAAAGTTCGCAAAATTGAAAAAGTTCATCAATTTGAAAACAAGTTCACAAATTAAATACTTTATTCATAGGAGGCTGCCCGGCCGGGCCGGTTCCCAAGGCCTCGTACGTTCCAATTCAAGGCACAATGCCAAGCTGTTTTGGTTGTCAAATCTTTCTGCATTTTCTGGAGTTTTCTCGGTCAAAAAAGACCGATAAATGGCCGAACGTGTAGCAACTTGCATACTATGTCATAAATGATTCAGACCTGACATGGATGTCTACCATGAACATGCCCACCTGTTTGCAAAAGTTGGGGTGATTTGAAGGATGTCCAAACATATACCATGACGGAGGGTGTTCAGGTAGGTGTGAAGGCTTCCTGTGAAAATATGTTGTTTTTTGACATCCTTGAAATGACCCCAAATTATTCATGGCCCTATATGACCAATTCAAGGGAACATGCTAAGTTGTTTTGGTTTTCGACAAATTTTGTATTTTTCAGAGTTTTCTTGGTAAAAAAAAGACCGATAAATGGATAGGCGTGTCAGAACTTACATACGGTGTCAGAAATTGTTCAAACCTGATATGGATAACTACCATGGTCATGCCCACATGCTTGAAAAAGTTGGGGTTATTTCAAGAATGTCTAAAACTGGACCATGTTTCAATGGGGGGTGTTCGAGATGGCCAGAAGGCTCCACCTGAGGGTTCGTTGTTTCTTGAAATAATTAAAATGGTCTCAATTTTTTTTCCAGCGACTTCTATGATCAAATCAAGGCACCTTGCCAATTTGTTTGTGTTTTCGATAATTGTTACATTTTTTTGGAGTTTTCTCGATGAAAACTGTCCGATAAATGGCCGGACGTGACACAACTTGCATACTGTGTTGGAAATTCATTCAAACCTCGCATGGATGCCTACCATGGGCATGCCCACTACTATAAAAAGTTGAGGACATTTCATGCATGCCAGAAATAGATCACATTCAACAGAGGGTGTTCGAGTAGGTGAGAAGGGTTCGTTTGAGAGCTTGTATTTTTGGCATCCATCAAATGACCCCAATTATTCCATGATCTTATATTTCCTATCCTGTTTTAATTTTTCTTTTTATTTCCTATCCTATTTTATTTTTTCTGTTTCTTTTTTCCTTTTTCATCTTCTTTGACTTTTTGTTTTTTTGTTTATTGTTTCTGTTTCTCAAATTAAAAAATTTCAAAATTCAAATTGTGTTCATATTTTTTCTGATTTTTTTAAAAGTTTATGTACAATTTTTAATTTCTATTTTATGAAAAAAAGGAAAATAAAAACGAAAGAAAAGCAAAGAGTGAAGGTGCTGCGGTTTTTTCTTAGCGTTATTTTATCTCGTTCAAAAAGAGGAAAATAAGATTAGTACGCACGCAAGGTTAGCTATCTCAGATGGTTGTGCACTTACGCATTGTTCCTGACCTGATGAAAGCCTTGGACAGTTAACTACTCGCCGGAGAAGTCCGTCGCCGTTGCGCCTCCGTGGTGCGTCGCTTCGCGTCGATCCGTTCCCATCCCACCACAGACAGGTCGGCCGGAGGAGTATTTTTTTTTCTCTGCGCACGGTGGATCGACGGAAATTCTCCGCGACGGCCCAAACCAAGCTCCGCCGCCAGCAGGCTGCAGCTCCGCCGCCTGAGCTCGAGCCAAGCGCTCCACCCCTCGCCATCGACCACCTGCGGCCATCACTGATTGCACTTTCTCCTTGCCAAAGTTCTGTAAGTTGTGCCATCCCATCCTTAGTGATCCAAACAAGCCGGATTCTTAATCAATTAGTATGTGCGTTATTAAATTACTACTACTACTAGTACAGTCTGCACTGGGGAAAGATTGATGTGAAGATAATTTCTTGCCTGTGCTTTAACTTGATATCTTACTGTTGAGTGTTGATGATAATTGTTAGTAATTTGGCATGTTAATTGGGACTAATTTGCAATTTCATGGTAATCACTGTTTCACCTGCTTTCTACTTCTGATGGAAACTTGACATCAATCTGTGTGCTCACACTTTTCTGAGGGCGTATCTCATGCGATGCACAAGTCTATTTTTTATTATACCTAATGTGTGAAGGGTTCATCTTCATAGTACGCTGATCAACTCGAAAATTATATTGAAAAAAAAAACTTGGGTGTTAATTAGCTACGTACAATATGGTTATGTATAGCTAAACCAACATTTAATGGGGGTCCTTATTGTTAAACAGCATGTAAACATCGCTCCTGTCTTCAGGCATTCAGGGTGTTTACATTCACAGCAACAGATTAGACAGCTATTTGCCGAATGGCTTTGCAACTTTCACTCAGCACACAGCTCATGGCTGCTCTCCCACAGGTACTTTCCTTTCTGTTAAGCCACAGCCGAACCAAACGCAGCTTCAATCGGTCGGGCTCGTTCGTGAGGTTAGATGACGATGGTCCGGGCGAATACGCCGACGGTGGTTCTCGATTCGTTCAAGCACATGAAGCGCTCGGCCGGTGGCCGGTCGGACCAGTTCGACCTCGCAGCGGTCCTGTCAGCGTGCGTGAGGGTGGGCGTCCTTGCCAGCGGCACGCAGGTGCACTGCGACGCGGTGAAGAGCGGGTTCTCCTCGGGTGCCTTCTGCGCGGACAAGCATGATCTCTGGGTACCGTGTGCTGGACAAGCATGATCTCTGGGTACCACAGAGCTGGAAGATATCAGGAAGCACTGTCTCTGTTCTCGAGGATGGTGGAGATGGGATCATCTCCGGACCAAGTGACCTGTGTCACCGTCATTTCCACTCTTGCAAGCTTGGGTAGGTTGGATGATGCGAGTGCCTTCCTGAAGAGGATGCCAGCGCTGAGCACGGTTGCTTGGAACGCTGTCATCTCCAGTTATGCGCAACAGAATGGGATGGAGCATGAGGTCTTTGGTTTCTATAAGGATATGAAGAGGCAAGGATTATGGCCCAGTAGAACATTGTCATGTGGAATGCGATGCTCAATGGGCTTGTTCGAAATGAGCAACAAGAAGAGGCCATCCAGATGTTCTGGTATATGATGAGGCTTGGTCTTGAGGCTGATGAGTTCACGTTCGTCAGTGTTCTTGGTGCATGTGCCCACTTGGATTCACATTGTCTAGGAAGACAAGTGCAGTGTGTGACAATCAAGAACTACATGGCTGCAAGCTTGCTTGTTGCTAATGCAACATTAGACATGCACTCCAAATTTGGAGCTATAGATGATGCGAAAACACTATTTAATCTGATTCCTTACAAGGACAGTGTATCCTGGAACACGCTTACAGCTGGACTTGTACATAATGGAGAAGAAGAAGAAGTAATTTGTATGCTCAGATTGATGAATGCAGATGGTATAGCACCAGATGAGGTGTCTTTTGCTACTGTGGTTAATGCATGTTCCAGTATACGAGCTACTGAGACTGGAAAGCAAATCCACTGCCTAGCAATTAAGTATAGTATCTGCTCGAATCATGCTGTTGGTAGCTCTCTTATTGATTTATATTCAAAGCATGGAGATCTGGAATCGTGTAGGAAGGTTTTGGCACAGGTAGATGCAAGTAGTATAGTCCCAGTAAATGCTCTGATTGCAGGTCTTGTGCAGCACAATAGAAATGATGAAGCTCTACAGTTGTTTCAGCAGGTTCTTAGAGATGGTTTTAAGCCCTCCAGCTTTACATTTTCAAGCATTCTGTCAGGTTGTACTGGACTTCTCAGTTTAATTGTTGGCAAACAAGCTCATTGTTACGCATTGAAGTCTGGTCTTCTGAATGATGATTCTTCCCTTGGTGTTTCACTGATCCGGATATATTTGAAGTCCAAAATGCCCGAGGATGCCGACAAACTGTTGACAGAGATGCCAGATCACAAAAACCTGCTTGAGTGGACAGCTATCATTTCAGGGTATGCTCAAAATGGCTACAGTTCTCAATCATTGCTATCATTTTGGAGAATGCGCAGTTATGATGTTCACTCGGATGAGGCGACGTTCGCTAGTATTCTCAAAGCTTGTTCTGAGATGACAGCTCTCAACGATGGGAAAGAGATACATGGACTCATCATTAAATCTGGATTTAATTCTTATGAAACTTCAACTAGTGCCCTCATAGACATGTACTCCAAGTGTGGGGATATCACTTCATCCTTTGAAGCCTTCAAACAGTTGGAAAACAAGCAAGGCATCATGTTATGGAACTCCATGATTGTTGGATTTGCAAAGAATGGTTATGCTGATGAGGTACTTCTGCTTTTTCAGAAAATGCAGAAGTCACAGATAAAGCCTGATGAAGTTACATTCCTTGGTGTCCTAATCGCTTGTGCTCATGCTGGATTAATTTCTGTGGGTCGGCATTACTTCGATTATATGAACAAAGTTTGTGGATTAGTGCCCAGAGTAGATCATTATGCGTGCTTTATTGATCTCCTCGGGCGAGGTGGTCTTCTTGAAGAGGCTGAAGAAGTTATTAACCAGTTGCCCTTCAGACCTGATGGTGTGATCTGGGCGACATACCTTGCAGCATGCAGAATGCACAAGGATGAAGAAAGGGGGAAAGTTGCAGCAAAAAAACTTGCTGAGTTGGAACCAGAAAACTCGTCTACATATGTGTTGCTTTCAAGCTTACATGCTGCAGCTGGTAACTTTGGTGAAGCTAAGATAGCCAGAGAAGCAATGCGAGAAAATGGAGTAACAAAATTTCCGGGATGTAGTTCGGTCACAGTAGGGAACAAGACAAGCTTATTTCTTGTACAAGACAAGAAACACCCCGACTCGCTTAGCATCTATGAAAAGCTTGATAATCTTACTGGAATGTTGAAGAATGATGATGATATTGAGGATTATGATATGCTTACTTCAGCTGAAATGTTTGGATGAGTAAAAACCCTTCTGAACTCAAATGCTCTGCTTAAGTTCCCTAAAAAAATGCTCTGCTTAAGAACTGAGGCACTGATATCATCTTCTGGCTCGTCCAGGACTTTAGGTAGATGTTTGGTCACACTGAGGTAAGGAATTTGGTATGCTCTGCATATTATTTGTCCAAACATATGTGGTCATATTAATTAATGAATTTCATTCTGACCACTCTATTTGCTGCAATTGTAGCATCACTGCATCAGAACAGCTCGATGGAATATTTGTTTTATTATGTTCAAGGGCACTTAATTACCTGTGATGAAACCAGTTTGTACAGGTTCGTTTCTAGTTTATTTTCTCTCAGTGAACTAATTTTAACTGCGGTTGTAAGTTTCTGAGCACTAAAAATAAGTATGAATTTGCTAGTTGATAGCAAGATGGCTTGAGAAGTTACCACGAGGTCTCAGCCTCGATGTGGGATGCAGAGGTAGAGACGGTGAACTCAGTGGACGGTCAGCATGGAGGGACCACGATTTTTCGCTTCTCACTCTTCTCTATGACAAGCACTTAGGCGGTGGCTGCCAACCTGCTGCCCTCAGATCTGGCAACCCGCTGCGCCGGCGACAACACGCAATCGCGATTCTACTGTAAGCTGAATTTCCTGCTTTCCCAGTATCTACCTCTTGTTTCTGCTACTGCAATATCGATTTTTTTGGTTGATAGTTAGCATCCTGGGAGGCGCTTTTTCTGGATTAGTATATGACCTTAGCATCAATGATGTCCACGTTAGATGCAGTTAGAGAAGGTAAAGAGTTTGTTAATTGCTCTGTGGTACAGACGATGTGTGCTATTTATTTGTGTTTATGCCATTCTTGCTTTTTTAGAACATGCTCCCTCCATCCTACGATATACGATATTTTTGCAAGCTAAAACAGCTTGCAAAAACGTCTTATATTGTGGGACCGAGGAAGTATTTTACATGTCACATAGCCACATACCATCTCAAAACTGAAGGATGGGGCGTGAAGTTCTATCTCTGGAAGCTTGTGCAGTAACCAGGGATTTGGATGACCTTCATCTTCAGGCACCTCCTTATGAGAAGCCATATGAGATAAGGTCAGTTCATGCTTGTGTTTTGTAGTTTTTACAGCTCTTCCATCTCCATTTGTACTTCGCACGTGATGGATATTTTACTTCAGAAAATACCATGGTATAAGGTGATTGAGTCTGCACACATACGGATGAAGTAAACATGCTATTATGAAGTCCTGCTGCTAATCTTATAGTCGTTGATATTTGTTTTTTTGTGACCAAGTATGATGCAGGGTGAGGCCCCAACTTCTGTTGAGATTCCTTTTCCAGAGTTGTTTAGCTTGCAGGCAGGGATTACACCATGACATCCTCTAGGTGCAGTACAAGAGAAACCCGCCTCTGTCAACTGGATTCTGCCTAAGAAACTTAATTCTCTTAAGCAAATAAATGCTGGTACTAACACATCGTTAGCAACACCGACTCAACTACAAAATGATCAGCAAAGATGGCAGCAGTACCTCGAGAAGGCAATGTATTTGAAATCGGTGTGCTGTTGCCTTGATTTTGGCCAAGCACATTTGCAAAGAGACGGGGCTTGTGAGGTTCAGAGTTAACTGAACCTGAACATCACAGAAATGAAATTCAGACAGGAAAGTAGCTAGCTTGAGTCAGGAATTTGTAGGATTCTAGCGTCCTTCAGATACGCATATAAGGAGCCAGCCGGAACATGGCAGCTAGGGTTTAACCGAATACAAGATAAGATGGGCTTCCTAGATAAAGCAGAAAAGTAGACAACAACAGCTGGTGTTGTTTCCCCCCCAAAAAAAACAGCTGGGGTTGTTGTCGCCTGTCAGAATTCGAACAGCAACCGACGGAAGAGCTAGGATCATTCAATCTGGAATCAACAACAACTGCTTCCTCTACTTGGGGCGAAGTGGTACGATGTGCTGTAGATGGCTATATGAAAGGGAGAGCTCGAACTTACTGGATGAAGCGGTTTGCTGATAACTGAAGAAATAGACACTTGCAGGTTTTAGGATTAAGAGATCTTGACAAGGCTTGCCACATAGAGACATGCACACAAGATATTTTCTTGTTCAAGGAGGAAGGAAGGAACATGCACGCAAGATCTGCTAGACCAATCATGAAACATTTCAGATCTGAGACAATGAAAAGCCAATCGCACAATCCAAAGGAGGTCGTTGCAAATTATGTATATGAGCTGGAAGGACGTTACAGAGGTGACAAAGAAGAAAAGCCGCACAGAGTATTCGTGCCGAAGAACTATCTGACATAGAACATTGTACTGCATTGTTTTCCGATTCCTGCAAAGATTCAAAGGTTGTTAGTTTCAGTCAGAAGATGCTTAAGTTTTTCTTTGGTAAGGTAACTACATCCTCCAATTCTTTATTTATTAGAATTCATTATGTTCCTCTTTTATTTCATTTTCTTTCATTTTGTTGGGTGATGATACCAATCCCATTCCTCCATTCCTGGTTAAAACTGAAATTTGTCCATCTCTAGTTTTTCATTTTGTTTTTCTTTTGGGCTGTTGACGTATAATGTGCTGCCTAGTCTCTTTCATTAAATCGGTCTTTTGATTGCATTGGCTAGAGCATATACTTCTACATGGTATCATAGCCAAGAGGTCTCGAGTTCAAGACCCGACTGGCGCAATTAAATTGCGGCCCACTTTCGTTCAACGTTTAGGCCCGAGGAAGCTACACTTGAGGGGGGGTGTTGACTTATAATGTGCTGCCTAGTCTCTTCCATCAGATGGGTCTTTTGGTTGCATTGGCTAGAGCATGCACTTCTACATGGTATTAGAGCCAAGCGGTCTCGAGTTCAAGACCCGACTGGCGCAGTTAAATTGCAGCCCACTTTCGTTCAACGTTTAGGCCTGAGGAAGCCACACGTGAGGGGAGGGGGTGTTGACGTGCCTAGTCTCTTCCATCAGATCGTTCTTTTGGTTGCATTGGCTAGAACATGCACTTCTACATGGGCGACACCAATCTCAGTAGTGTCTCTTTTCATCTGGTTGATATTACATATTTCTTCTAATTAATCATCAGGATTATATCTTTTAAGTATGTGTTTATATTTCACTGAAATGGGTTAGTATCCCGCTCCATCTCACTGCCCTCTTGTCTTGATTCATTCTCCCCTCTTCTGCTTTCTCCCTTCCTTCTGTTTTCCTGATCTGCAACCTTTCTTCATGCTCGTCCTCCATCGATCCTCTTCCTTCTCTTTCTTTTGTTTGCTCCGGCTGCACGTTGGTTAGGAGGGGATCGAGGGGGTTGCGGTGGGTGGTTGTGTGATGACAGCTGTTGAGTGGCTTTCTGTTACCAGGTTATTGGATCCAACATTTATTGATTTCCAGGTTGGGGCAGCGGCCGTTGCCACAGTGAAATCGGCTTGACCAAAAGAATTTTCAGCCAGACATCCAACGGCTCCTGCCAAACTCAACTGAAACGCAATTTTTGGATTCTCAGAACAAGGTAGTGTACACATCGCCTACTTATAAAATACACAAGTTCCAAACAAGGAGCACCAGGAAACATGGGCGCACACTCCCAAACCAAAAGAAATGTTGTGAAAACAGGGAAACACAGCGAAGACAATGCCTACACAGACAAGCGTAAAATTTGTTTGTCACACACTATTGTCCCCAATGGGCATCGCCATGGAAGCCGGTACCAGCGCAGACGCACCCCTGTCTCCTTCCTCTGGCAGCTCTGTCCTCTGCACCCTCTCCGCGAGGGTCTCCATCCCCATGTGTGATAGGAGCAGCCAGACGTAGGAGAGGTACTCCCCGCCCTTTCCTAGGTTCTTGGCGTGCAAGTACCCTCTGCACCTGCCGGCAGAGAAGCAGAGCATCTCCACCCACACGCCCTGGATCACCCTCCACATCTTCTTGTCCTCCAGACCCATGGGAAAATATCCTGTGGAGCATAGGCTTAGGTGCACCCCCTTATCTGGCCATCCATCTCTGCATCGCGATTTGTGCAAGAACTTTTCTCTTTTTTGTTTCTTCCAAATAAAACAACATATGAACTTAAAACTCATTTTGTATATTAATATCCGTCAAAAAAATCTATAAGTTTTTTCTCTCATTGTAGTAAGAATGTTTTGCTATTCTGCGAAGTTTGATGTTCATATGTTGTTTTATTTGGAAGCAGCAAAAAAGAGAAATTTGTACGCTGTAAATTAGTTGTCTAGCACGGATCTCAAAGCTATATTGAAGGGTATAGATAGAGGGTGTCCATGAGTCTAAGCTCTAAAAATCCGCGTCCCAGACCCACGAGGGACCTGGTGAGTTCCCAAGCCTCGAGAACGATACCTGGACATTTTGTGCCATTCTGCGCCTGGTTGATTAACCTCTTTATCATCTCTCTGTCTTCCAGTGGGGTCTTGTCATCTTCATTATCGAGCATTTGCTTGAGCTCGTGGCAGGTTGTGTGGAACAGACTGCTCTTGGTGCCGGTCATGAGCATCTCCGGGTTCACGAACATGAGGTACATCATGTAGTTGGAGATCTCCCTGCTGCAGCGACGGTGAGGAGACGTGTCTTCCCCCTTGACTACAGCGCCCCTGTGGTACAAGCACAGGTCGGTGGCGAGGTGCCACAGGAGGACACTCTCATCAAATGGCCTCCTGAGGCTCCACTCCAGGTGCGTGCATTTCTCACGGAGGAGAGTGCCCTGGCCCCGCTTGTCGTTGAAGGCCCTGTAAGTGGCGGTGTCCTTGATGTAGCGTCTCCACCCTTGTTTGACATGGGCATGGACGAGCTTGGTGATGGCGCGGGATGACGATGAATTGCATGACTCCATGCACCATAGCTTGTCGAGGTAGTCCTTGCAAACCAGCATGGTGGCAAGCTTCCTCAACCTAGGGTGCCTCCTGTTGCGGGCCAAGTACCCAACAAGGCTGTACTGTGCGACCTGTTCAGGCCATGGTTGTAACCCCAAACCACGCACGCACCAATGGAGAAACAGTATCACTAGCCCATTGGTCATGAGGAGCTGCAGCGCAGCAGTGCAGCACAACATAGTGCAGGTGACCCTGACATCGGTGCTGTTCTGGGCTGCTCTGTCGCTATTGTGGAAGACCCCGATGGCCGTGAACGATAGGTACACGGTCACAGATCGTAGGAGGCCACCTAGATGGAAGCGGAAAAAGCGATTATTAGACAGATCAGTAACAAAATCGCTCCATATCTTTTTCACATTGTACTCTTGTTTCTTGGTGTAGAGCCGGTCGAACGTTTTGGAGAGACCCGACTGAACCAGCCCATGCGCTTCGTCTTTCTTGTTCCGCATGTACTTGAGGTTCTCCAGCCGGACGCTGTATGGGTATGCCAGGTCTTCGAATAGATGGTAGGGCTCTTTGATGGCTTTGTTGACGCCAGATTTACTTGTTTTCTTCCAGTGTTTTGGGTGTAAAACACACTTGGTTGCTTTGTCAACGTATTCGTCGAGCGAAATGGTGCTGCCATGATCTTCGTCTGTGCTGGAGCTGCTGACGATGCTGTTGATGCTGGCGCTCTTGAGAGCCCATGGCTTATCCAAACACCTTATTATGCCGCAGACGAAGAACAGAATTGCAGTTTGCAATAGTTTCTTGTCCCCTGGCCATGATTTGCAAAAGACGTAGATGGCTACGGCGACCTGAGAAAGTGATGGATGGATGAGCAGGCCGAGCATACATAGATCTAACGACCTTTTCCTTTTGTGGGAAATATAGATTTAAGGACTTGAGTCAAGAAGGAAAAGAAAATGCTAGCTGGAGTGCAATTAATGCTGATCACAAATTCACAGCATCATCGTGCTTCAACTCGATCAACTTGTAAAGTACAGTTGACATTCGAGAAAAGCAAGTCTCAACAATTTTGTAGAAAGGATTAGGTGTAAACTGTAAATGCAACAAAAATGTGCAACATTTTGGAAGCACTAATAGTTTCAACAGCCAAATTAAAGGTTTATAGACACAATTCATTCAAACGTAGCGGATTAGTGATTGGGAAGTACCTGAGACACCGCGGTGAGGACGTGCCGCCTCCACAGCTCGTTGTCCTCTATGTTGTAGGCAGTGACGCCGTCCTGCCCACCGAGGTGCACCAGAAACACCGGCGCCCACAGCGCCTCCAGGCTGGAGCTGCCGCGTCGTGTGGACGTCCACTCCTGCTTCCCATGGCTGTTGAAGAGGGTGGCAAGGGCGTAGATGGCCAATGCGCCGCTGCCCAGGTAGGCGAGCCAGATGAAGAACCTGAACCAGGACGGGATGCAACGCTTGCGCATGCCAGCTTCGACGAAGATGAAGTACTGGAGGAAGAGGCTTCCCAGGACGAGCACACGGAGCTGCCATTCGTCCCACCATTGTACCATCTCGGAGAAACCCATATTGTCCAACTCTCCTACTGCTGACCTTTTTCATTGAGCCTTCTACTGTAGTATATACTAGAGTTGTCCATGTGCGTGGTTCTTTTTCTTATACAGCACTTGCTAAAAGATGTCTACACGTCCGCCAGCTCCATTCTATGCAGTTTAATAGTACAGACATGGCCGGAAATCCCTTTTGGAGCTCGGCCTCCGGTGAGGCCTCCAAATTCAAATTTGAAATTTCATTGAAATTCTGAAAAAAATACAGATATACATGCAGGCATAACACACATGTGTGTAAATTTTCAGTTTAAAGTACATTGAAATGAGGGCTGTGCGGAAAAGACAAATCTGGTGCTATTTAACGCATGATACTATTCACCCTCCCAGGCCATGAATTTGTCTTTTTTGTACAGGTCGTAACTCAACGTATTTTATCGTGAATTTTTACACACATGTGGGCCGGGTTACATCCTTACATACACGCATATTTGTTTTCAGAATTTTTTGAACCATAAAAGTTTGAATTTTTCAAAAATAAAGGCCTCCATGGAGTTCGGCCTCAAACGCCATGGCTTGCTTTATTTGGTCTTCTTTTTCATCTGAAACGGATGATTCCATCATACCATTCCTATTGGCGCATCAAATAGTACATATTTTACGACTGGACTTGACTATATATAGACCAACGCCAATTTGTATATTCGGGTAGCACATGGGAGATTCGCAAGAACATGTGCAGCTCATCATACCCCATACCGTCTATAATATTCTTAAGAAGCAAAGCATGGACCAACTTAAGTACTCCCTCTGTCTAGGTGTGTAAGTCACCTTACGAAAACCAAATAATCCCAAAACACTTAGGCACGGTACATTAACTCCCTTCTTGTTTCTTGTTTTGTGGCATATCAACCAATAAGAGATGTGGGCAGTGCATGCTTTCAATGACTTGACACTAACAAACATGATATGCAGTGGTTAGTTCATTGCATGCAATGCTATTAATTAGCAAAAAGACATTAAGTTTTCTTGTTTTCCTTTCCGACTTGGTCGCGGTGCACAACGTAAGATGACTTACACACCTAGATGGAGGGAGTATTGGGGGTTGGGCGTGTAGTTAAGTTTATAATTTTGGGTGAAGACTGGCTATTGGATGAATGACTTTCACTAAGTCATAGATAAAGAATGTAGCTAGTCGGTCGGCTTCATTAACCAAAATTTTGACGCGTCATTTGTTTTATAGTCAAGGAAGAATATAGAGAGCTAGTGATGCCTCAACTACTACAGGAAGACTTAAATATTTTTATTAGTTTAGGTTGTAAGAATTTACAGTACCTGATTAGAGATGCGGAATGGGTTTATTTGGTTTTTAACAAACTAGCGTTTGGTAAAGTAGCCACCAAAAAAATCATGGAGAGTACATCCACAGGACCATATACACGATTTTTTTCAGTGTGATTTGTTTGCTTTAACTGGAAAACCAAATACCCTAGTGTTGCATTAGTAAGTCTCGCATTGTGATTTTTTTAGTCTGTCACCATGGAGTAAATACTCTCCACCTGAATATTTTCATATTTATCAATGAAAGAGAGTTTATAGTGACAAGATTCCCTTGAGAAGAGAATTAAATCATGGCACAGACCGCCAGCATGTTCTTTATGATCGTTTGATCTTACTATGAGACCATAGGGTTAGGTCATCAATGATGTTAGTGACCATGGCCGAGGTGACTAGGTCAAGATGGTGAAAAACTTAAGCTTTTTAGCATCTCAGAATTTCCAGAGCACTAGGAGGAGCACTAGAATGGACTGATCATTAGCTATCAGCAACCTAAGTACGTTCCATAAGAATGTGTATAGAAAATTCAAAGTGTTACATATAAAAATAGAGGAATTGGCAAAAACAAACGGGCGCCGGTTTCCAGTTAAATGTATGCCTAGCTGATATGTGCATATGCCATGTCTTGATGTGTTGATTGCCACACTCTATCCTATAGCTTGATTGTTAATTTCAAATTTATGTAAGTTGCCATTCCTAGGTTGATGACATAAGGATTATGTTAATTACCATGTCTAGCTTGAATTTTTTGAGCTGCCCTAGCTAGATTTTGAAGTTGTCATTCCCTAATAACCTGATGCATTTTGATTTTTCAGATATGTGTGCATACTAAATCTGTTAGGACATATTGTACTTAGGACCCTTTCTTTCCCTCTCTCCCTGTTTCCTCTTTGCTCTTGTGAATAAGGGTATTGATATGGGTGTTAGTTCTCCTCTAAGATAGACAGGCACCTGGTATTTCGCATCTCCTTTTTGCCGATGTTACTTTGTTGTTCTTCAAGGCGTGTGATCAACATGCCAATGCTATCAGTAGTATCTTGGAGGTTTGTGGAAAGGCTACAGGACAACTTTTAAACTCCTCCAAGTGTTCTATTTTGTTTGAAAGCGCGTCTCCTCATACTGTCATGTCCTCAGTTTAAGTCCCATCTTCAGGTGGTGTCCTCAGAATTTGAAGAAAAATATTTAGCTATGCTGACCCCGGATGGACGAATGTCAAAGGGCTAATTTCAGAACCTCCATGTGAAGGTAAATAAGCTTTTGATGGCCACCAAACTCAAGCCGGAAAGGTAGTGTTAATAAAGTACGTAGCACATGCTGTCCCTACATATTTTATGAGTGTTTTTAAGTTCTGAGAAGGGGAAGAGACAGACACATTGGTATGCATATAAGAAAATGACTCGGCTCAAAAGCGCAAGGTGGGCTCGATTTAGGGATTTTCGTCTGTTCAATCAAGCTTTGCTAGCATGACAATCATGGCGTCTCCTTGTATTTCCTAACAGTTTTTGCGCTAGTGTTGAAAGCAAAGTATTTTCCTAACGACAGACTAGAGGACACTGTTTTCACGGGCAACCAGTCCTCTTGGATAGCCATTTGTCATGGACTTGACCTTCTATAAAAGGGACTGGTCTAGAGAATTAGTGACACATGGATTGCTCGTAACCCTACAGGTGGCTTGATTACACGGAAAGACAAGTACTGATTTAAGTGGGTCTCAGAATTACTGGATCTAAATGGAAATTGGGACACTCAAAAACTGCAGCAATTCTTCCTGCCGGTGGATGTGTGGGAGATTAGGAAGATCCGGCCTTGTGCGATGATTTTCTGACTTGGTCTCTCGAGAAGAATGCTAACTTTTATGTTCGTAGCGCGTACTGGTTGGCCTACGAGGAGCTGCAGAATTCCGCAACAACATTTTTGAGCAGTAGGTGTGGCAGCACTCGTAAAGGGTGGAACGCAATCTGGGCTTGCCCTGCAGCACCGAAGTTTTGTCCTTTGCCCGGAGACCGGCAACGAACTCTCTTGCTACATGGGATAATAAGTGCACTCGAACTATTGAGGATAAAGCCATCTGTCTGATCAGTGGGCATGAAGACGAAGATAGTTTCCATGCTTTTCTTGCCTGCACCAACGCAAGAGATTTGTGGCGAGCTGGATGATGTCTGGGAGCTCCCTATCCCAACAGATAGTGGCAGATCTTGACAAAGATTGTTCAGGGGGCGAAGAAGATAAGTTATGCATGAACTCTGAGAATTCATTCATATTCAAGCCTAATAATATTAGGG